GGGGGCTTGCCCGCAGGGTGTTCTAAGCCGGAGTCCGGTTAGAAGGCTCTCTCAGTGGATTCTGCGTCTTTTTTCTCCCAATCTCTCAGGTTTTGTAAGGTTTCCAATGTCTTCGGATCTTTTCTGTGTGATGTATGGGCGCGAGTGCAAGTACGGAGCTCCTTACTTCTCCGCCATCTTGCCCTCTCCTCCATAATAACTTTTCATAATATTCTTATAATCCCTTCTGTGGTGTTACCTCTCTTTCAGTTCTGATTGAGTCCCCCTTTTTTTTTTAATGAGTCTGCCTAAAAGCTTATCAATTTTATGATCTTTTCAAAGAACCAGCTCTGTTTGATTGACCTGTTTTACTGGAATTTAGTTTGCATTTTGTTTATTTCTGCTCTAATCTTAATTTCCTTCTATTGATTTTGGGTTGTGTTTGTTTTCCATTTTCTACCTCCTTTAGGTTTAAGATTAGGTTGTTTGAAAATTTTCTTGCTTCTTGAGGTAGGTCTGTATTGCTCTTTTCCGGGATACTTCTTAATATGCCCCTTGTTCACTCTCAGGTGCCTAGTTTTATGATAAATTATTGTTACTTTACAGATGAGTAAATAAGAGACCCTTGTTTAAGAGGTTAAATGACTTGCCCATTATTACTTTTTTAGTAAGTAGTGTGCTGAGGACTCAAGGCCAGAATTTGTGTGGGTATCACACTAACTTGGGAGTTCCTAGAAACAGAAGTGGACATACACAGAAGCCTTTCACTCTGTCCTTATCTTTGAGGCATGGGATCCTCCAGGCCAAACTATAGTCCACTGGTTTGTGGAAAGTGGAAACCATGATTTTTGTAAAGGAGGGTTGCCCTAGATTCTTCTGAGTATGACTGTTTTCCATTCTCTGCTCACTCTGTCACATCTCATATCTAGGTTTTTATAATGTCCCCTAGGTCTTAACCCTGCTACTGGACCCCTTGACCCTCAAGAGCCTAGCTTTCTGAGATGACTCACTGTGTGTGCTGTTGTGCCTTCTTTTACTGGCCTCAGCCTAAATGTATATCCTTGAAATATTTGCCCCAGTACAATCTGTTGACTATTGACATATATGGTTCTCTAGTCTCCACAGAGAGGTGGGAGGGAATTGGTTAATAGAAAGTTGAGCACAATCCACTTTATAAATTCTTGATAAATATTTTATAATTAATTATAATATTTTCTAATTTATCAAGAATTTGTAAAGTGCACATGGAAAAGCCAAAGGAAACTGCTGTAAACCAAAATGGGAACTGTTGGATATGTTAATAGGATCAAAAGGATTTTCTTCCCCTTATGTTTAATATTTTAGTATTTTATAATGTAGTTTTTTTTTAAATTTTTATTTATTTCTAGGAGAGAGAGAGAGCGTGAGCAGGAGAGGGTCAGAGAGAGAGAGACACAGACTCTGAAATAGGCTCCAGGCTCTGAGCTGGCAGTCAGCACAGAGCCCGACGCGGGGCTTGAACCCACGAACCACAAGATCATGACCTAAGCGAAAGTTGGACGCCTAACCGACAAAGCCACCCAGGCGCCCCTATAATGTAGATTTTAAAACACATTTACAAATGTAATGTTCCTACTTTGTAGAAACAAATGTTACTTTTACTTTTGAACCTTACCTGAAGAGACTTCTATAAATTATGTGGTTTTTTTTAATGTTTATTTCTGAGAGAGACAGAGTCAAGGAGGGGCAGAGAGAGACAGACACAGAATCTGAAGCAGGCTCCAGGCTCTGAGCTGTCAGCACAGAGCCTGACATAGGACTCAAACTCCTGAACTATGAGATCATGACCTGAACCAAAGTTGGACACCAAACTGACTAAACCACCCAGGTGCCCTTATCTCAGTGTTTTTAAGAAGACTTTACTACCACTTGCCTTTTCACTTTTTTTTGCCTTTTTACTTTAAATCATTTCTCAGAGCAACATGAAAATACTTACATATAAGATCTTCAACAAAGCACAAGGTACCTGCATTTGCTTCTCAAAATTATCAAGGGGATATAATTGATAGTTTATTCTTGTCAATCATCTTAAATTTTTATTAAGAAGCATATATATATAAAATATATATATAATATATATGTAAATTTATATATATATAAGATCACATAAATGGTACAGTAATGTGATTTCAAAAATCTGAGACTCCACTTTTTTCTTCTTTAATAGCTCCCAGCAATGGTAACCAAGACATGTCAGCCTGGTTCAGTCTGTTTGCAGACTTGGATCCACTTTCAAACCCAGATGCTATTGGACACTCAGATGATGAACTTCTTAATGCTTGATTGAAATTATGTCGTCACTTCAGTGGCCTGGAGACATCGATTTTACAACATACTGCCTTTGTGGAAAGGAGTTTATATTGTAACCCATACACAAAAGCATGGTGTTTGTGAATATAACACTTTTCAGCCAACTTTAAACAGATGGTAAGGATCACATTTGAATAGATTAAGTATCTCTTTAATATCTTGGATCTACAGCTATTGATAATATGTGGAAAATATTACAAACTATTGAGTGAAATAGATACCAAAATTTATTTCAAAATAACAGGAAGGAATAATTCTGTAAATAAGGAGTTGCGCTTATTTCTTTGAAAAGCCTTTTATGTTCAAGTTGCCTTGCTGGCTGTGAAAATTCTATATGTGGATAAAGAGCATGTAAATTGGGTTGCAATTTGGGGTTGGTTTTTAAATAAAACCGTAGCAGGGTTTTCTGTTGTGGAAAATAGCACTAGAACCAGACCAGTTTCGTCTTTAGCTAGAAAAGTAGATTAAGATTTGAAAACTCCATTTGCTTTCAAGAAATCACAGAGAACTTGGTGCTTTTATCCACCTGGGGGCTAAAACGTATTACCTAGTTTTTTTTCCCTCATACAAAATCATGGACACCCCTCAATTCCGTGATTGAATTTTCATAGGTAAATAGCAGGATGATTTGTTTGCTAAATCCATCCTCTGTAGAAACCTGACCCATCTCCTAAACTACAAGATTGTTTTGTAATATTTAAGACATTGTACACATGTGTATAGGCCTAGTTTTTTTTTTTACATGTTGGTACCATAATGTACAGTATTCATATTCTTTTTGAAAAGAAAACAAGGCGGGGCGCCTGGGTGGCTTAGTCGGTTGAGCATCCGACTTTCGCTTAGGTCATGATCTCCCGGTTGGTGGGTTCGAGCCCCGCGTCGGGCTCTGTGCTGACTGGAGCCTGTTTCAGTCTGTGACTCCCTCTCTCTCTCTGACCCTCCCCTGCTCACGCTGTCTTTCTCTCTCTCTCTGCTAGAAATAAATAAAAATCTTAAAAAAAAAAAAAAAAAAAAAAAAGAAAACAAGGGGATAATCTCTAAACAAGTGGCAGTACTATTCCTGAAATTACCCAGAAACTTCTTTCTGAATAAGGGAAAAATGATAAACAGCTTATCCTGATAGATATACATTCACTAATAGCCTTTTTCTTGACATGTTTTAACCAAGATTACTTTTCTGGCCATCATAGAAAGGGTCTATAAGATCAATAAGAAATGGTCTTCTTATTCCACTTCTTTCTTTGAGGGTGACATCATCTGCGGCTCTGTTTGATTACTATGGAAAAACTGTTACCCTTACTGGAGGGACGTTAGTGTAAGCTAATGAATACATAGCTATTGTATATATGTGTCCATAAATATCCTGTTCTTTTTTCTTGCCCACCCTTCTGTTTTGAGGCATTTCTTCAGGTGTCTTATTTTTGTTATGCAGTCCATTGCATCTCCATAAGGAAACATTTTAACTAGGTTGTTCATAGCAGTTTCCATGTACTCTTAGTTTTAAATAAGCTTATTGATCATTTACAAGAGAATGGCTTGTAGTGTCTGAGTCACTGTATATAGAAGAAATGGACCAGGGTGAGTAAAGTGCCGTCTATGTCCATGCATAGCACTCTGGCCTAGCTACAATCTGAACCACCCAGGAGCTCTCCAGAAAATCACAACTATGGTGCAGTACTGCAGAGGCCAGAAAGATTTTATCTGAGGATCAGAAACATGGACCCAGGAAAAGATTATGTAATCTTTTCATGCTTATTCCCAGTTTTTTATTTGGTTATCCTTTCAGAAGGATATTTTTTTCAGAAGGACATTTTAACTCTTTATTCAGTAAAATTCTCCAGAATGCAGTAGTATTCTGCCAAGATTCAACCACCCAGGGTCATGATTCATTATCTAAATTCTATGCCGATAGTGACTGTGCTCTCAGCTTTGAGTACTTCCACAAAATACTAACTTTATATCATGAGTTTGTGCCTTTTTTCTTTAATTTCCTTTCCTAATGCATTAGTTCAGAAATACTTTGTGTACCTCCTTCCCATGCATGTTATTTGTATAAACAAAGACTCCTCAACACAGAGGAAACCTGCTGGTCTCTCCAAGCCAGAACCCTGAATTCCCGACCATAAATGTGTACAGATACTGCCTTCAATTTTCAAAGAAAGAACAAAAGTCCTCCAAAAAAAAAAAAAAAACCCACACAATAGGTTTTTATTCGGTTCTGAGATTCTCTTAAAATGTCTTCTCTCAATACAGAGTACGTGGTTGCTCCTTTAACCCGAAGGCAACATTAACTGTCTTAGCAAGTTCAGTTATAATTTCAACAGATCTAACAACTCCATTTTTGAAGAGCACATTGAAAACTTTGTTATTAAAATGAAGGTAACTGTATTTTTTCAGTATTAAAGTTCAGTCATTAATTTAGAGGCCAGAAACAGAAATCTGGCTATATTCCACCCAGATTACTAATAAAGGAAATGAACCACATATTCAGTAGGGAGTGAAAGGAAGGAAAGAATAAACATAGAAAGGTGATCAGTTGCTATTTGTCTAAATCTAGATCAAACATTCAATAAGAAGTAAATTAATTACTCTTAACCAAAAGTAGGCTGAGAACTCAAAGTAAATGTATGGTTTTTATATTAAATGGGGGAAAATAATCTCTCCTACTTTTTAATGCCAAATAAGAATGCATTTAACCTGGGGCGCCTGGGTGGCTTAGTCGGTTAAGCGTCCGACTTTTGCTTAGGTCATGATCTCGCGGTTCTTGGGTTCGAGCCCCGCGTCGGGCTCTGTGCTGACTGCCAGCTCAGAGCCTGGAGCCTATTTCAGAGTCTGTATCTCCCTCTGCTCTGACCCTCCCCTGCTCATGCTGTCTCTCTCTCTCTCTCCTAGAAATAAATTTGAAAAAAAAAAAAAAAAAAGAATGCATTTAACCTTTGAAAAGTCCCCAAAGAACTAAAATTTGTCTAATCTTTCTTACAACCACTTTACATATTAGGAATAGGAATACCAGGGCATATTACCATCAAATTGATATATCTTTGTATTTCTTGAAATCTTTCATTAATTGTAAAACATAGCTCTGATAGTTAGAAACAAACTATTTAAAAAAATAGGTTTTCGTATTTATACAATGAAAAGTGTTTGTATTTCAACTATGGTATTTATTTCACATAACTATCTTTATAGACCATCTGGAAATGTAGAGGTCTTTACAGCTTAAGAACAAAAGGAAGTTTGTGCTCTATTTTACTCAGCCTCTTTTAATAAAGATTACAAGAAGGCATAAAACAAAAAGTTTATTTCCTGAAGTATTCAACACAAATGCAATTATAGTTAACCTATTCAAAAATTTGGGTTTTACATCAGGACCATAGTAGTAAAAGTTGGTTTGAATTGATACAGATAACACAGAATTAAAATAAAACCAAGGCAATTAATATCTTTGTGAGACTGATTCTTTTTAACTTCATACATGTAAGATAGGGGAAATAACAGAATGTGTATGTGCTTTGAATACATTCAGTAAGAAAATACAAACCATCAAAATATCAAAAGTTTGAGTCTAGAAACAATAACCAATGAAATATAAGCAAAGTATTTAACCTGACTTGCTGAAGGCAGGAATAAAATTGAAGAAAGCCAGAACTGATCTAGTTTATTTCAGTCTTCCACAGTATTGGCAGGGCCCTGTGCTTTCTTTGAGCAATGAAGCAGCCCAAGAATCTTGGGATACTGAGATTAAATTCGTAAGGAAAACCAAACTTTAAATATTAATTCAGCAGTACTGAAAGTAATGCACTTAAAACACACAATGGTAAGGTGTTTAAATATGGCCATGAAAACCTATGAAACAGGATGAATCACATCAGTATGCCAAGCTTTACTGAAATACCTCCTCCTTTTTTATGGGCCATTTAAAAACACTAAAAAGTTGAATTAAAAACTGTCCTTGGTGTGGCTCAGTCAGTTAAGTGTCTGACTGCTGATTTCACCTCAGGTCACGATCTCATGGTTCATGGACTCAAGCCCCACATCTGGCCCCATACTGGCTGGCTGTGCGGAGCCTGCTTGGGATTCTCTGTCCCTACCCTGCTCTCTCTCAAAATAAATAAACTTTAAAAAAAAAAAACAACACCCAAAACTATCCTTGGCATATAAAGTCAAAACATGGTTCTTCACTCAGTGGTATAAATAACCAAAGTCCAAAAAGTAAATACCAAAAGGAGATCCGGGTGGCGGTAATAGGTAAGATTTTGAAGTGCATGGTTTTTTTTTTGTTTTTTTTTTTTTTTTTTTTAATGTTTTATTTATTTCTAGGAGAGAGAGAGAGAGACAGCATGAACAGGGGAGGGTCAGAGAGAGAGGGAGTCACAGACTGAAACAGGCTCCAGGCTCTGAGCTGGCAGTCAGCACAGAGCCCGACGCGGGGCCCGAACCCACGAACCGCGAGATCATGACCTAAGCGAAAGTCGGACGCTTAACCGACTAAGCCACCCAGGCGCCCCGGAAGTGCATGGTTTTTATATTAAAGAAAAAAGTTTCCTTTTTCCTCACCTCAAAATAATACCATCCCTTTAAAAAACATCATCCATAGCCCCACCATCCAGGAATAACCCTTATTAACATTATACACTATTATTTTATTATGTCTTTGGGCTCACATGTTAAGTTTATTTATTTTGAGAGAGTGTGTGCACCCGCATGTGGGGAGGGGCAGAGAGAGAGAGAGAGAGAGAGAATCCCAAGCAGGCTCTCTACTGTTAGCACACAGCCCAGTGTGGGCTTAAACTGTGAGATCATGACTTGAGTAGAAGTTAGATGCTCAACCAACTGAGCCACCTGCGTGCCTTTGGGCTCAGATATTAAATTATGACCCAGGTGATTTCATTTTGTCCTCTAAAATGGCTGTACCAAATTAAGATTAAAAAATTAACTTTGGGGTGTCTGGGTGGCTCAGTTGGTTAAGAGTCCAACTTCAGCACAA